TGTCCATCGGAATCCTTTAGATATCCCGTATAATAAGTCGATACATGTGAATCGATATTTCCCTGAGATTTGTGGGCTATTCCAGCAGATGATGAACCCGAGGAGAGGGTCCTGGGAATCCCCAACTTATAGCCGATTGGTCCAAAGTGCAAGTGTCCCAGATCTGCAGCTGGCATCAGTCTGACAGGAAGGAGCCCTTCCCCTGTGGGATCTGATGCTGTCTCCAGGCAGGTGGTGTCAGAATTGAGTTAAATTGTAGGACATTCGGTCCTGCGAGGATTGGAGAATTGCTTGTGTGAAAACCAACTAGAAACGTGTACTAGTAGATACCATAACTAACTAGGTATAGCACACTTTTTTTTTCTCCCCAAATTGTACCTTCCGGTATGGAGCGGCAAGGGGGGAAGAGCTATCATATTAGAGGCACGCTCTCAGCTGCTGATGCCTCTTGCTGCTTTCTTGTTCAATATCAAGGACCTGCAACTGACTTAATTTAAAAAAAAAAAAAAAAAAGCCACCTGTGTCTGGTCTCCTTCCTGGTGCAGGGAAACCTGGGGAGCCTCAGACGGCATGCTGGCTCCTCTGACCTGTGTGTGCCTGGCCCTGCTGTCTCATCTGTTAATTTTTTCAAACTCATGCTTTTGCTTTCTTCCACTCCATGGTCTGCTTTTGGTATTGTGGATCCTTAAAAATTTAATAGTTGGGGGGCACCCGGGTGGCTCAGTCGGTTGAGCGTCCGACTTCGGCTCAGGTCATGATCTCTCAGCTCCATGAGTTCGAGCCCCGCCTCAGACTGTGCTGACAGCTGAGAGCCTGGAGCCTGCTTCAGATTCTGTGTCTCCCTCTCTCTCTGCCCCAACCCACTCACATTCTGTCTCTGCCTCTGTCAAAAATAAATAAACATTAAAAAAAAAAAAATTAAACGGTTGGGGGATAAGTCACTGGAATCTACTCCTGAAATCATTGTTGCACTATATGCTAACTAACTTGGATGTAAATTTTAAAATAAATAAAATTAATTTTTAAAAAATTAAAAATTAAATTAAAAATTAAACATTTGGGGTGCCTGGCTGGCTCAGTCAGAAGAGCATGTCATTCTTGATCTCTCGGTCATGAGTTCAAGCCCCGTGTTGGGTGCAGTTTACTTAAAAAAATAAAATGATTTTTTAAAAATAAAGTAAGTTTAAAAAATAAAAATTAAGTGGTCTTTGATAATCGGAGGGGAGAGATTATCTGCAATATTCGAGAAGCTGTTAAAATCCTCCTTCGTGGCGTGCCTGGGTGGCTCAGTCGGTTAAGCAGCCAACTTCAGCTCAGGATATAATCTCAGGTTCATTATAATCTCAGGGCCCTGCATAGGGCTCTGTGCTGACAGCTCAGAGCCTGGAGCCTCCTTTGGATTCTGTGTCTCCCTCTCTCTCTGCCCCTCCCCTGCTGGTGCTCTTTCTCTCCAAAATAAGTAAACATTAAAAAAAAAATTTTTTTAATCCTCCTTCATTTTCCTTTTTCCAAATATAAATCTGTGTGTGGCCGGATCTCCTTCATATTCCTCAGGCAAAACAACATTCACAACAGACTGAATGCAGAAGCAGAGATGAGAATCCAGCTATTTCCATCAACTCAGCCAGGAAGAGATTTGCAAAAATGAAAACAAACAACCCTCCCCACTAAGTTTTTTTTGGGGGGGGAGGATGTAGTGTTTTGTTTTTGTTTTGTTTTGTTTTTAGGGAGAGAGCATGAGCAGGGGAGAGGGGGAGAGGAAGAGAGAGAGAGAGAGAGAGAGAATCTCAGGCAGACTCTATGCCCAGTGTGCAGAGTCCGACACAGGGCTCAATCCCACGACCCTGAGATTATGACCTGAGCTGAAATCCAGAGTCAGACACCCAACCGGCAGCCACCCAGGTGCCCCTGAATAAATAAACCTAAAAAAAAAAAAAATCTGCTTTAACTTTTAACTCAGTAAATGTAGTTTTGTATAACTCCTATAAACAAAGCTTTCTGGAGTCCTCAACAACTCCCAAGAGTGTACAGGGGTCCTAAATCCGAAAAGTTTGAGAATTATGCTAGAGGAAAGCACCAGTGAGGCAACAAAAAGGGGCACCACATCATCATACACAAAAAATTTAACATTGATGCAATAACGCTATGTTAACAGGTAGTCCATATTCCTTGTTCCAAGTTGTCTCAATTTCGTGAAATTTAGGGAGCAAGTCAGGGATTCAGAATCCAATAAAGATCATGCCTTGCTGTGGTTGTCATGCCTCATTAGTTTTCTCTAACCCAAAGCACTACCCTGTCCTTTTGTGTGTGGATGGGTGGGAGGTGTTTCTAACCTTGCTATTTTTGAAAAAGCCATGTCAGCTGTTTGGTAGAATATCCTAACAGTTACATTGTTTCTTTTGTCTGGTGGTTTCCTTATCACTGGATTCAAGTTAAACACCTTTAACAGGAATTTTACATAAATTGTGTCACTCCCAATGCATCCCATCAGGAAGCCCGATGTTCATGCGTCCTATTTTAGTTATGACTAACTCTATGTTTGAGAATTTTTTGATTGTGATTTTATATATTTACTTTAATATTTAATTTTTTGAAGTTTATTTATTTTGAGAGGACGATCATTGGGGGAGGGGCAGAGAGAGAGCCCCAAGCAGGTTCCACACCGTCAGCGCAGAGCCCAATGTGGGGCTCGAATTCACAAACCGTGAGATCATGACCCTAGCTGAAGTTGGACGCTTAACTAACTGAGGCACCCAGGTGCCCCTTCAGATTTTATTTTTGAGAGAGAGAGTGAGAAGGGGAGAGGCAGAGAGTGAATCCCAGGCAGGCTCCACACTCAGTGCAAAGCCGGATATGGGACTCGAACTGATGAACCATGAGATCATGACCTAAGCTGAAATCAAGAGTTGGACACTTAACCGACTGAGCCACCCAGGTGCCCCTAAAAATTAATTTTTTTTTAAGTTTATTATTTATTTTTGAGAGAGAGACAGAGCATGAGCATGAGCATGAGCAGGGGAGGGGCAGAGAGAGAGGGAGACACACAGAATCCGAAGCAGGCTCCAGGCTCTGAGCTGTCAGCACAGAGTCCGATGTGGGGCTTGAACTCATGAACTGTGAGATCATGAACTGAGCCGTAGTCGGACGCTCAACCGACTGAGCCACCCAGGTGCCCCTAGAAATTAAATTCTTAACTTGGCTTTACAAAGTTTAAAACTGATAATTTTTCTTTCTGGGTCTTACAAATACGAGAAACTTCTATGATTTCTCTCTAATTTCTTCTCTGCTATATTCCATGTTGTTATTCCATAGTATTTTAGTTCCAGTGAGTTTTCTAAGTTCCCTCATGTTTTTCCAATAGATTCATCAGCATGTTTTGCCAGTTTCTTAGCTCAGGGTAGTGTCTTGTATTCCATCATTGGACAGGCATCATTGAATGGGTCTTTCAACAAAGGTCTGTGAGTAATTAATATCCTCTGTCCAACTCTGTCTCTATCCTCCCTCCTTTTTTTTTTTTTTTTTAATTTTTTACCGGAGCATAATATATGTATTCACATATGCAGAAAAGTACACAAACTACTGATGTATAACTTATGAATGTTCCCCCAGTCACTGCCCAGCTCAGGAAACATAACATCACCAGCACCCCAAAAACCCTCCTCATGCACCTCCTGGCACTGTTTTTCCCAACTTCTCCCAAAGTAACTGCCGTCCTAAATCCTACTAAAATGGACTGGTTTTTGCCTATTTTTGTTTTGATGGAAATGGAATCAGACGCATGTATTCTGCTGTGTCTTACTTCTCAACATTGTGTCTGTGAAACTCATCCATGCTTTTGCATAAAATAGTTATAATTTATTCTGTTGCTGTCTGACACTCCATTTTATGAATCTGCCACAATTTATGGATCTATTCTACTGGGTTTTTTTTAATTTTTTTTTAATGTTTATTTATTTTTCACAGAGAGAGAGAGAGACAGAGCATGAGTGGGGGAGGGGCAGAGAGAGAGGGAGACACAGAATCCGAAGCAGGCTCCAGGCTCCGAGCTGTCCGCACAGAGCCCGACACGGGGCTCGAACTCACAAACCGTGAGATCATGACCTGAACTGAACTCAGTTGCTCAACCAACTGAGCCACCCAGGCGCCCCGGATCTGTTCTACTGTTGATGGACATTAGGGGTCTTTCTGGTTTGGGGCTATTTTAATGAGGCATGGTGAATGTTCTAGCCCTTGTCTTTTGCTCCATGTATGTATGAAATTCCGTTGGACGACACTTAGGAGTGAATTAATGGCTCACAAGTTACTGTGTAAGTGTTCATCTTTCACGAACACTGCCAAATGGTCTTCTAAGGGATTGGTTAATTTCTTTTCCACCAACAGCCTATGGGACCTTCAGTCTCTCATGTCAGTCTCGCCACATTTTCGCTAACCCTCGGCACTGTCGTTCTTTTCGATTTTGGTCATTCTTCTGGGTGTGCAGTGGTAACTCATGGAAGTTTTACCTTATTATTTTTTTAATGTTTATTTATTTTTGAGAGAGAGAGAATGAGAGCATGAGCAGGGGAGGGACACAGAGAGACAGAATCTCAAGCTGGCCCCACATTGTCAGCACAGAGCCCCATGCAGGACTCAAACCCACAAACTGTGAGATCATGACCTGAGTCAAAATCAGAAGTTGACATTTAACAGCCTGAGTCACCCAGGCGCCCCTTGTGGTGGTTGTACATTTCATTTCCCTGGAAACTAAGGGGACTGCGCTCCTTATCGTATGCTTAATATTCATTTCATTATTCTCTTTTATGAAGTGCCCGTCTCAAGTCTTGTGCATTTTTTTTTTCCCATTGGATTCTGCCCGTTTGTGACTTGTAGGAGTTTGATATATATTCTGGTATGAGTTCCCTTTTTTGGATACATACGCTGTAAAAGTTTTCTCCTATTCAGTGGCTTTACTTTAATATTTATTTACTTATTTATTTATTTACTTATTTATTTATTAATAGGCTCATGCCCAGTGTGGAGTCCAGTTCGAGGCTTGAACTCTGGAACCTGAGATCAAAACCTGAGCTGAGATCAAGATACGGATGCTTAACTGAGTGAGCCACCCACATGCCCCAGGGGCTGACCTTCTTATTTTCTTAATACGTCTTTTGATGCACAAAAATTCCTTAATTTTTTTTTTAATTTTTTTTTCAACGTTTTTATTTATTTATGGGACAGACAGAGACAGAGCATGAACGGGGGAGGGGCAGAGAGAGAGGGAGACACAGAATCGGAAACAGGCTCCAGGCTCTGAGCCATCAGCCCAGAGCCTGACGCGGGGCTCAAACTCACGGACCGCGAGATCGTGACCTGGCTGAAGTTGGACGCTTAACCGACTGCGCCACCCAGGCGCCCCTCCTTAATTTTAATGTAGTCCAACTTACTGGCCTTTTATGGGTATGCTTTGTTTCCCGTTTCATTAATCTTTTCTTACCCCAAGACTATGAAGATATTCTCCTATAGTATCTTCTAGAAGCTTTATTATTTCACCTTTCACATGAATATCTATAATTCACCTGGAATTGGTTTTTGATGCACCCTATTTCAGATGTTAAGAGGTGAAAAGCAACACGTATCCAAAATTGATAAAATACAGTAATGTGTTCACCTCCATTTTTTAACCAAATCCTTTATGGGCGTTTTTCTCTGTGATTAAGTATTCTTCTATAAGAGGATTGTTTTTAAGATTATTTATTTCTTTTGAGGGGCAGGGAGAGAAGGAGAGATTGAATCCCAATCAGGCTGTGCACCATCAGCACAGAGACCAATGTGGGGCTCAATCCCATAAACCGTGAGATCATGACCTAAGCCAAAATCAAGAATCAGACACTAAACTGACCAGCCACCCAGGAGCCCCTATAAGAGTTTGCTATGTGTGTGTGTGTGTTGGTTTGTGGTTTTCTTTCCCCTTTATTTATTTCTTTAAAAAAAAAATTTTTTTTTTTAATTTTTTTTTCAACGTTTATTTATTTTTGGGACAGGGAGAGACAGAGCATGAACGGGGGAGGGTCAGAGAGAGAGGGAGACAGAGAATCGGAAACAGGCTCCAGGCTCTGAGCCATCAGCCCAGAGCCTGACGCGGGGCTCGAACTCCCGGACCGCGAGATCGTGACCTGGCTGAAGTCGGACGCTTAACCGACTGCGCCACCCAGGCGCCCCAAAAAATTTTTTTAATTTATATCCAAGTTAGTTATAGTTGTTGCATATAGTGCAACAATGATTTCAGGAATAGATTTCTTGATGCCCCTTCCCCATTTAGCCCATCGCCCCCCGCCACAACCTCTCCAGCAACCCTCTGTTTGTTCTCCATATTTATGAGTGTATGTTTGTCCCCCTCCCTGTTTTTATATTATTTTTGCTTCCCTTCCCTTATGCTCATCTGTTTTGTATCTTAAAGTCCTCCTATGAGTGAAGTCTTTCTATGATATTTGTCTTTCTCTGACTAATTTCGCTTAGCATAATACCCTCCACTTCCATCCACATAGTTGCAAATGGCAAGATTTCATTCTTTTCGATTGCTGAGTAATACTCCATTGTACATATACACCACATCTTCTTTATCCATTCATCCATCGATGGACATTTGGGCTCTTTCCATACTTTGGCTATTGTGGATAGTGCTGCTATAAACATTGGGGTGCGTGTGCTCCTTCGAAAAACATGCCTATATCCCGTGGATAAATGCCTAGTGGTACAGTTCCTGGGTCGTAGGGTAGTTCTATTTTTAGTTTTTTGAGGAACCTCCATCCTGTTTTCCAGAGTGGCTGCGCCAGCTTGCATTCCCACCAACAATGCAAAAGAGATCCTCTTTCTCCGCATCCTCGCCAACACCTCTTGTTGCCTGAATTGTTAATGTTGTTATGTGTTTTTTTAATGTTTATTTATTTATTTTTGGGAGAGAGATAGAGCGTGAGTGGAGGAGGGGCAGAGAGAGAGACGGAGAGAATCCCAAGCAGGCCCGAGCCGTCAGCTCAGAGCCCGACGTGGGGCTCCAACTCACGAACCATGAAGTCATGACCTGAGCTGAAATCAAGGCTGCTTAACCCACTGAGCCACCCAGGCGCCCCAAGAGGTGTTTTTAAATAGCTGCTGAATACTCATCACATGGCTCTCCCTGGCACAGGAGCTCTGGAATCAGACAAGCGTGGTGAATATCCTGTCCTAATCTCTTCCAAACTGTGTAACTTTCAACAAGCTATTTACATGCTCCGGGCTTTAGCTCTCATGGGAAGCGTCCAGATCTTGAACTGAGTTGGGTATGTAGTCAGATCTCAATTCCTAATTAATAATTGATTGACTTAGAAGCACGCCATCAACTGAAACAATGGATCATTAACTCTAGAACAGTCTTATTTACTCATTAAAGTCTCCTAAAGACCTGGGATGGGCCGAATTTTCTAAGTCCACTGTTTTATTGGATGTGACTAAGGACAGTACAAGTACATCAGAATCAATGCCCCGTGGTAGCTGGAAACTAAAGCCAGCATTGGCAGCTGTGAAGGAATGGTAACTGAGCCACTTAATCGCATCCCCTTATCGGCTCATCGGATTATTGTTCTTTATCTGTAGAGCTGGTGGTTGTGAGAGGGTTCCAACTTTTCTTGGCTGACGGCCTCAGGAGAGAGTTGCTTAACTTCTCTGTGGCTCACTTTGTCATCTATAAAATGGGTCAAGTCAAAGTTCAACACCAACCCGGCAGTGTTGTCAGAGTCAAGTGAGCGCTTAGCGGAGGGAGGACGCAGCGAGGGCCAGGGTCCAGAGTAGCCACCAGTGGTCACGCCCCTGGTGGGGGACGGGTGAGACGCGGCCCTCTGGGCCGGCTGCCTCCAAACCTGGAGTCCGGAAACCCAAAAGGCTGGACTGTGTTTATCTGGCGCAGATCGAGAACGTTGGAACCGATGAGAAGACAGAATTCCTGACCCCGGTTTGTCCGGTGAGGTGCTGGCAGATGTTACTGACGACCAGCGCTGTGGCGGGGGCAGTGTGTGCACGTGCCCTGATTTCCTGACGTAAATACTTCAGCCCCGGCGAATTTCAAATTCTAGCTATGACAGCACTGATCAGAGTCGAATAGTGTTTCTGTTACGTGGTGTTTCTTCTTTTTTTTTTTTTTTTTTTTTAAATTTTTTTTTTTTTTTTGGGACAGAGAGAGACACAGCATGAACGGGGGAGGGGCAGAGAGAGAGGGAGACACAGCATCGGAAACAGGCTCCAGGCTCCGAGCCGTCAGCCCAGAGCCCGACGCGGGGCTCGAACCCCCGGACCGCGAGATCGTGACCTGGCCGAAGTCGGACGCTTAACCGACTGTGCCACCCAGACACCCCTGTTACGTGGTGTTTCTATCATACAGATGCAACAGGTGTGAATGTCCTCAAGGGAATGGATACTAGTAAAATATAGGAAATTAAATAAGAAGCTATGAGTTTTGGTTTTTTTAACATAATTTTTAAAATCTTTTATGTTTATTTTTTGAGAGAGAGAGCAAGAGAGAGAGAGAGAGAGAGCTAGGGAGGGCCAGAGAGAGGGAGAGAGAAATCCCAAGCAGGCTTCGTGCTGTCGGCTCAGAGCCCTGATGCGGGGCTCAAACGCTCAAACTGTTGGATCGTGACCGAAGCCGCAACCAAGCGTCGGACGTTTAACTGACTAAGCCACCCACGTGCTTCCTAAATACAATTTATTTAATTATAAGTTTATATAACTTCTTTTTTTTAATGAAGGTCTTTTTTTTGAGAGAGAGAGAGAAAGCACGAGTGAGCACGAGGCAGAGAGAGAGAGAGAGAGAGAGAATCTCATGAAGGGCAAAGAGAAAGAGAAGGAAAGAGAGAGAATCCCACTCTGAAAGCATGGAGCTTGAATCGGGGCTCGAGCTCACCCGATGTGGGCTCGAACTCCTGAACCTTGAAATTGTCACCTGAGCTGAAGTTGGATGCTTAACTAACTGAACCACCCAGGCACACCTATAACTTAATTTTATTTAAGTTTATTTGAGGAATCTCTACACCCAACATGGGACTCGAACCCATGACCCTGAGATCAAGAGTCACTCACTCCTCCAACTGAACCAGCCAGGCGCCCCTGTGTAACTTAGTTTTTAACGATGGCTGTGTTTAACAACTGGCTTGCAAAATTCATGCACATTTAATAATTGACTCTCATGGGTCCGTGTAAACTGGGTCCAGCCACCACTGAACTAGTCCCCAGGGCTGGAGCCTATAATTATGGACAAAAAACATTCATGTTTAGTTCAGAACCTGGCCCTGGACAAGTGTTAAGAACAGGCTCAGTGTACTTCTTAAATACCAGTGCTCGTTCCCCTGGGAACTGTGTTCCCTCCCCCACGACACAGCCCAGTAGGTGACCTTTTGCTTCCCTGGCTCTAAGCTGTTTATCATCCTAAACCACCAGCAGCCCCCACACACCCTTCAGGACAGACCATCTCAGGAATGCCTGGGACGTGCACATAGGGCGCGATGGCCAGCCATTCACTGAACCCAGGTCAGGTGCTCACAAGGTCATCCGGACGGCCGGAAGGAAAACAACAGCCTGCTCCTCGGCTCTCAGCCCATGACGTGGGCTAGGAATGCCCTCGACAAATAGACCTCACCAGTCCACTGCCCTTGTACCTTCCAAAACCTGGATCTAAACTACCATTTCTCATTTGACTCCTCTTCTCTCCATGGTGCCTCTACCCCTGCAAGTCACAGAGACCGTTGCAATGTTGACAAGTATGTGCTCTGGGAGCATGCTCTTGCATTATCCCACGTAAGCCTCATAGCAACGCTATGAAGTAGGTACTATTCTTGTCCCAAGTCCTGTGGATGAGAAGTCAGAGCTTGGGGTGGTGTACTAACTTGCCCACGGTAGTCTGGAAAGGACCCGGTATTTTTCCTTTCTCCCTCAAATGTCTTCCTTCACATGGTATTCTCCTCAGTTCATGCACGATTATTTTACATTCTTTCACATACTGCTTACTACTAAGGGTTCTCAGGCGTAGAGACAGTAGTAGGAGCCATGGGTCTGAAAAGATTGCTCAGGAGAAGGTGAGCTGCGGAATGGGGTGGGGGTGGGACCGTGACGAGACCCTGGGGGCCACCAACACTTAAGAGCCTCTGAGGAAGAGAGGACCCAGAAGGGCTGTCACAGATGTCCAGGCGATGGTCCGCGGTGGGGACCTACAAAGTGGAGGAGTAAATAGGCACCAAAATTCTGGATTTAGCGATCCAGAAACCATCGCTGATCTTGGCAGGGGACTCTTCTTTATTTCCATACCAGACGGTGAAGAGGCGGGACCAGGACAAGCAAGAACCCAATCACAGTGGGTTGAAGAAAGGCTGGGAGGTAGCAGTGAGGTCAGCCAGTATAGACCTCTCTTCCAGCAAGAACGCACGAGAGAGATGCTAGATGGAAGGAGGGCTTTTGGGGTGTGGCTTTTAGTTTGTTGTTTTTTAATGTTTATTTATTTTTGAGACCAAGAGAGAGCAGGGGAGGGGCAGAGAATCCCAAGCAGGTTCTGCACTGTCAGCGCAGAACCCGACACGGGGCTCAAACCCACAAACTGCGAGATCATGACCTGAGCCCAAGTCAGATGCTTAACCGACTGAGCCACCCAGGCACCCCTGTTGTTGTTGTTGTTGTTGTTGTTGTTGTTGTTGTTCTAAACTGGGAATATCCTTAGCAAATTTATATGCTGAACAAAAGGAGCTGGCAGAGGCGAGGCCGAAGATGCCAGCGAGAGAAGAGGGTGATGGCAGGAGATAGCTGAGGCCTCGCGCTGCAGGGTCCAGGCTGCAGATGGGGGAACATCCACCCCGGCGCCTGGGGAGGAGCAAGCTGCAGTGGGTGCTGCCTGGTGGCCTCTAGTCCTTCTGATAAGTGAGGGGGATGAATAGTTGGGGGCATCGAGGGGAGTGTTGGGGAGCACGGCGCAGGGAGGCTGCCGGGAGAGGCAGCTGAAGTAGGAAGTAATGCACATATGCAGCAGGACAGTCCCCCTAAGTGTCATCACCCAGCAGCCCTATTCCTGGACTTCCTTCTGGATGCTGTGTATGTCTATGGTCCGTAAGCTCATCAAACTCATTCTTCGCCTCCTTTCTGGCTGTTTTCGCCCCCAGGAGGTGACATTTTCTCCAGGTTCTAAGGACAGATCACCACGGCCCCTCTGCAAGAATTCTTGGGGCGCCTGGGTGGCTCAGTCAGTTGAGCGTCCAACTTCCGACTTCTGCTCACGTCATGATCTCCCGGTTCGTGAGTTCGAGCCCCGTGTGGGGCTCTGGGCTGTCAGCGCAAAGCCTGCTTCAGATCCTCTGTCTCCCTCTCTCTCTCTGCCTCTCACCACTTGTGCTCTCTCTCTCTCAAAAGTAAATAAACATTAAAAAAGTTAAAGAAGTGAGGATTTCTTTCCACCATGTGAGGTTACAAGAAGTTGGTGGGAGCTACCAGTCTGCAGCCTGGAAAAGGGCCCTCACTAGACACAGGATCCGTCTGTGGGCCTCCCTGCCTTCAGAACTGTGAGAAATCAATGTCTGTTGTTGCCGTCACCCAGTCTATGGTAACCCGCTGCAGCAGCCTGACCTGTAGCCCCGTGTGCACAATGAGGAAGTTAGTCGTTTTGCCCAGAACAGGGCAGGACTTCCAGCTCAAGGTCAGTGATTTTTCCACTGTGTCACGGGATGCACCACAAGGTGGTACTTGATCAAACAGAAAATACGTCCTTGGAACTGGCCTCCTGGTCTCAACCTAGATTCGGGACTTCACTTCATTGCAGTGAGAATGTTCCACTGTTCCTCTGGAACAGATTTACCGCTTCGATAATTTAGACCTGACTTTCAGGAAGAGGCCAAATAGGTTTCCCCCTGATCTGTGGGGAGTGGCTACACAGGGGCCCATCTGGAAAGCGTTCTGGGATCAATTAGCCAGGTCTGCCAAGGGCAAGGCAGGGGGAGAGTTAATCCTGTATGCTAAATATTTGCCCAAACTAGTGAAGAGGTGGGGTGGGTGACAAACTGTAAAGATTAGCTTTGCAGAAAAGCCTGGGAGGGGAAGAGATTCCAGAGAAGTCTGGTTTCTGTCTCCTGGCTGAGCAGTCTGGAGGAGTATGGCTGCCGATTGAGAATAGTTATGCCTATTCAGGGAGTCAAGGCGGGGGTGGGGGTGGGGGGGTCCAGAAGAGAGAAGGACATTCGGCAGCAGCTCTTGGGGTTTTATATCCCCCACCCTGTTGAGCCCAGGGCCCAGTGAGCAGGGCAGTTACTAAGATTTCTGGGCAAGGCTTACTCTTGGCACCCAGGCCTGAGGAGATGGGGAGGGGGGGCGGGCAAGGGCCTGTCAAAATAGCTTGGCAGGAGGAATGCTGAGTTTGTCTTCCAGCCAGAGGTAGGCACAGGGCGTCCCCAGTGCAGCCTAGTCCTTCACTCTGGCTACAAAACGGACTTAGATTCCGTGAGACCTGAAGCTCGCACAGTTGGGTCAGCCAGGCAGAGGGCTCCTTTTAAGAAAAGAATACAAAATTAGGTACTGACCCTTGGAGGGGGCCCTGAAGCTTAAGCTTCAAAAAGGGGTGTGCGTGGAAAAGAGAATAAAATGGGATGTGGCGGGGCAGCGGGGGTGGGGGTCGGATACCTGGGCTGCTCAGTCGGTTGAATGTCCAGTTCTTGATTTCAGGCTCAGGTCATGATCTCACGGTTCGTGAGTTCGAGCCCCGCATCTGGCTGTGTGCTGACGGCTCAGAGCCTGGAGCCTGCTTCGGATTCTGTGTCTCCCTCTTTCTCTGCCTCTCCCCCGCTCGTGCTCTCTCTCTCTCTCTCAAAAATAAATAAATATTTAAAAATTTTAATAAATCAATAAACTTGAAAGAAAAAAACTAGGATGAGGGGATAGAGCACAAGGGAAAGGAGAGTGCTCTAGACGGGGGTTGTCAGGGAAAGCGGGCGAGCGACCAGCCACGGGGAGATCCGTGTGAAGAGCATCCTGAGCCGAAGGAACAGCAGCGCACAGGCCTCAGAGGCTGAGACAGGCTTGGGATGCGCCCGGCCCGGGAAGATGAGTGCACCTGGAGTGCAGTGAAGCCAGAGGAAAGGGAGACGTGGTGCCCCCAGTGGAATGGGCAGGGTTCACGCTGGGCCTCGAAGACCAGGTAAAGTCACCATTACTCCGGGATCTGTAGGAGGTCCTCAAGGCCTTTTCCATGAGGCTAACTATGAAAAGAGCAGTATGGTGGTATCTGGAGAATGGTTTGCACAAACTTCCAGAAAGAGCGGCAGGCGGAGGTGGGGGGTGTGTCGGCAGAACCTGGTCCTGGACGAAGGACAGTCATCAGGGAAGGGCGGTGTCCTCCCGTGTCCTACAGAGCCTCCCTCGCATAAGCCTCCCGGCGTCACCCGCGCTCACCCCCCAGAGCACTTTGGGAACTAAAGGGCCAGTCCCTCCATGCGTCGCTGGGCTCCACGCGTCTGGGCGGCTTCAGGAGCCCCAGGTCACTGGGGCGCCTGCGTGGCTCAGTTGGTTATCAGCTGAGTGTCCAATTTCGGTTCAGGTCATGATCTCATGGTTCGTGAGTTCGAGCCCCACATCGGGCTCTCTGCTGTCAGCGCAGAGTCCCCTTTGGGTCCTAGGTCCCCCTCTCTCTGCCCCTCCCCCACCCTTGTGCATGCCTGCTCTCTTTCTCACTCTCAAAAATAAACATTAAAAGAAGGAGGAGGAGGAGTCTTCCCAGATCAAACCAACGTAGAGGATGTAGGGAACAAAGGCAGAAGGAAATGTAGATAAAATTAAATTTCTTTACAACCTGCAGCCCATTGACAAATACTTGAGGCAGGCAGAGTAGGATTTTCCTCCGGGAACTGCCAGCTGTCTTAATGTTAATGCTTGGCCGAGGGAAAAACCGCCTCAGCTGGACCAGAGCTAGGCCTCGAGGATCCTCTTTGTCTTCTTAACATGTGGAACCTTTTGTTCTTTGTCTTGCCTCCGCAACTCCAAAGTGGATAACCAGTGTCTCTTCACAGCCCCAGGGTCCTGTCCCTGTGCTACAATAAAAACGCCTTGGGGCGTGGGCGTCTGGGTGCCTCAGTCCATTAAGTATCTGGCTCAGATCGTGATCTCACCTTTCTGTTCCTGAGATTGAGCCCTGCGTCTCCTTGGGATTCTCTCTCTCCTTCTCTGTCTGCCTCTCCCCTGCTTGTGCATGTGCTCTCTCTCAAAACAAAACGAAACACCTGCCTTTTTGCCCCGTAAACATCTCAAGAACTTTTTCTTCCTTCCTTCCTTCCTTCCTTCCTTCCTTCCTTCCTTCCTTCCTTCCTTCCTTCCTTCCTTGAGAGAGAGTGTGTGAAGGTGAGCGGAGCAGGGTCAGAGAGAGAGGGAGAGAGAGAATCCCAAGCAGACTTCACGCCCAGCATGGAGCCCAACTTGGGGCTCGATCTCATGACCGTGACAACCATGACCTGAGCCAAAATCAAGCGTCGGATGCTTAACCTGATGTGGGAAGCAGAGGCAGAAGGAAGTGGCAGAGAAGATTCAATTTCCTTATAACCTGCCGCCCATTAACAACTACTTGAGTCAGGCAGAGTAGAACGTCCCTACTGTCCCTACTGTCCAGGTTAATGCTTCGCTAGAGGGAAAAACAACCTTAGCTTGACAATAGCTGGGCCTCCAGGATCCTGGGAGTCCTCTTCAATATATGAAAATCTCTTTGGAAACTTCTTGCCTTTACTTCCCCCACCTCCCAAGTGTATAACCAGTCACTCCTCACAGCCCCAGAGCAGCTCTTTCTGCCCATGGGTCCTGTCCCCGTGCTTTCATAAACTCACTTTTTCTGCACCAAGAATTCTTTCGTGGCCGTCAGCTCCAAACCCCCATCACCCCCCAAAAAACTCATCATTTTTGGCACCCCAACGTGAGGCGATGAGTCTTTTCATCTGGACTCTGAGCTTCGGTGCAAACTTGGTGAGTGCTTTCTCTTTTCTTCCTTAACTCTCATTTCAGGGGCCCTCTGAGAAGTATGGTCTTACAGGAACACTTTCATGTCTATCGCTCAGGCTGCAATCCTCTAGCCTGTGGCTCCTCTTCTGGGGAGGAGAAAGGCTGCCTTTTGGCTGGAAGTTAGGACCCCGGCCAGACCGGTAATAGGACCCAGAAACATGATGCCCTCTCTTTGTTCTGTCCTTATACCAAGCTGTCTGTCTTGGGCCTGGTAGCGGCACGGCTCCCAAATCTGACTCCCGTGTGAGGGGCGCCCGGGTGGCTGGCTCGGTTAGGGGTCACACTTGGGCTCAGGTCATGGCCTCGCAGTTCATGGGTTCAAGCCCCATGTGGCGCCTGCTTGGGGTTCTGTGTCTCCCTCTCTCTCTGTCCCTCCCCTGCTTGTGCTCTGTCTCTCCCTCAAAAATAAATAAACATTTGAAAGAAAGAAGGGAAGGAAGGAAGGAAGGAAGGAAGGAAGGAAGGAAGGAAGGAAGGAAGGAAGACTTGTGAGGTTTCCTCCTGATTCGTCTACCGCGATCCCCTCCACATCTCTGGTCTAGCCACTTGTGGCCGCTCACAGTCGCCCAAGACCAGTACCAGATTGAATTAAAACTCAACTGGGGACCGTTTCCTAGGAAGGCGGCTGTAAGGACTACGTGTGTTGGAATGTTGCTTAGATCATGATGGATTTCTAGCTTTACTGTTTTCTGTCCTTGCCCTCAACTGCAGACTTGGGTAATTTTGTAAACCTTCTCCAGTGTTTTCCATGGATTAAAAACAATGGATTTTTCGTGGCCTTCTCCGCAAGGCAAGCCACAGTGTGGCACAGCGTGGCCGCCAATGGCACAGCGCAGCTTCGAACCCCACCATCACCCCAAAACTTCACACCCACTGAGCCACCCCGGGGCCCCTCAAGAATTCTTTCTTGGCCATTGGCTCCGAACCCCAACACTTCAAACCACATCAAAACCCATGGAATAGAGACAACCTCAAGATGCCCTAGCAACCCATAGGGACCTCAGGAATGAGCACTCTTGTTTCCAGAATAGCTGACAGCCACACCTGGAGGGGAAAGAAAGGTGAGTCCTCTCTGCACCTTTCTGTGGTGTCCTTCCTCCTCAGGCTGTTAAGTCCTGGGCATCCGGAAGGCTGATCTCTGTGGGAACCTTGGAGGTGCCCAGTGAATAGGTCCGCCCTGTGAGGAAGGGGTGCAGGGCGGAAGGAGGTATGGAATGGTTAAGAGGGTCTTCAAGCCCAGGGAAAGGGGAGGAGGTGGGGGCCTGTGAGGGATGAGCCCCTCCACCACTCCCCACTCCCTATCCCCCCATCTCTTGCTGAATCTGAGGGAACTAAGGGCCTTCCCCGGGACAAGGCCAGGACAATAACTCTGTAGCCCCCTGGGGTCCTGTCTAAGGCAAGAAACCAATCAATACGGTGACCCACGTTCACTTCCCTGTCTGGGACCAGAGAATGGGAAGCCGGCAGATCCAGAGCTGGGTCTCCCGACAGTGCCTCCTGGTGGAGAGTTTGAGCTTTAGCGCTGAATTTGAGACATCAAAACAAAGGGCTTTGGGCCAAGTCATAAAAATTCCCAGGGAGGGGGAGGGGCAGGAGGAAAGAGCCCACAGTTGAGGTAAGAGAGAGAGAGGGAGGTAACGAACTGTAGAAGGGGAGGGAGAAAAACACCTTGACAAACTCCAGAGCCTGGTTAACTGGTCACGGGGATCCCAGCAAGCCTGCCTAGGAAGGAACAATAGTTGGGAGGTGCTGGGGATTTCTAGCAAAAACAACCCACCATCCAACAGAGAAACAATGGAGAAGGGCCTCAGCAGTGTTGTGACCCGGATGCCTCCCAGCCCCCCCACAGTGAGGCCCTGCCCCTAATCAACTGAAAATTAAGGCAGATAAACCATCTGTGGAGAGGTAGTGAGGATTGTGTTAAGCCACCGATGGGAAGAGACCAAGGGATGACGCTTGAGACCAGCCAGACTCTAACGCAGGTGACCTGGGTGCGGCCCCAGGAGAAAAGGATTGTTAGCAGGTGAAGGCAACCTCGTTCCACCTTTTGTTTCTTGTTCAGGAGAAAGCTCTTCTTGGGATGGGGTGGGGCAGTGGGTCAACAAAGAGCCAGAAGGTGGCAGTGTCTGCTCAGGGAGGGGCATGGGGGCGGGTGTACCTCACCCAACTGCAGCCAGACTCACCCGGGTACGCAGCCTCATGTGGCCTCTTGCCAAGATCCACGCTGCCCTGCCTTCCTCCCTGGGCCCCGGGCCCATGTGGTAAGGCCAGCTGGGGTGGCCCTGGCCTTTTGAGATCTAAATAGAATCTCCTCCCACTCCTGTCCCACGGGCAATGGGACTCCCAGCTTCCTCCTTGCTGTTCCCAGGGTTCAGGAGGCCTTGTTTTCCAGTACCTCTGGCCAGAGCCGTGCGCCCCTGACCCCCTAAGACCCTGCCTCTCGCGTCCAGGTCCCTCCTCCTCCTTTCGCTGTGTGCCATCCTAGATTCGGCGTGAGTCTCAAGTTTGAGATCCCTCCTCACGCAAGATACAGCTTGGGGCAATAAAGGAGTACACCTAGTGGTACCAGTACAACCCGTTCGAAATGGAACCTAACAGACCCTGGCCTAAAAGTCCTGTAGTGCGGGTGCCTGGGCCCCTCAGTTGGTTAAGCATCCAACTCTTGATTTTGGCTCAGGTCATGATCTCACGGTTCATGAGCTTGAGCCTGAGGCCCACATTGGGCTCTGTGCTGACAGCATGGAACCTGCTTGGAATTCTCTCTCTCTCTCTCTCTCTCTCTCTCTCTCTCTCCCTCTTTCTCTCTCTCCCTCCCCCCCTCCCCCGCTGGCGCATGAGCTCACTCTTGCTCTCTCTCTCTCTTAAAATAAATAAACATTAAAAAAAGAAAGAAAGAAAAAAACTCATCCTGGGGGGCACCTGGCTGGCTCAGTTAGTAGAGCATGTGACTCTTGATCTCAGGGTTGTAAGTTTGAGCCCTACAATGGGTATAAAGTTTACTTAAAAAAATATTTAAGAAAAAGTAAATAAAAGGGCTGCCTGGGTGGTTAAGTTGGTTAAGTGTCTGACTTTTTTTTTTTTTTTTAATGTATGTTTATTTTGGGGGCACCTGGGTGGCTCAGTTGGTTAAGTGTACAACTTCGGTTCAGGTCATGGTCTCACAGTTCATGGGTTCGAGCCCCACGTCGAACAGCTGACAGCTGTTCTGTGCTGACAGCTCGGAGCCTGGAGCCTCTTTCGGATTCTGTGTCAACCTCTCTCTCTGCCCCTCCCCTGCTCACGCTCTGTCTCCCTCTCTCTCAAAAATAAGTAAGCATTAAAAAATAATAATAATTAATAAATAAATATTTATTTTTGAGAGAGAGAGAGCACACACATGTGCATGCTCAAGAGCAGGGGAGGGGCAGAGAGAGAGGGCGACGGAGGATCCAAAGTGGGCTCCATGATGGAGCCCACTTTGGAGGGCTCAGACTCATGAATCAGGAGATCATGACCTGAGCTGATGTTGGTAAGCATCTGACTCTTGATTTTGGCTCAGCGTTCGTGAGAATGGTTCTTTCTCTCCCTCTTTCTGTCCCTTTCCTGCTCATGCTCTCTCTCTCAAAATAAATAAAAACACTTTTAAAAAAGTAAAGAAAAGAAAAACCCATCCTAAAATTCATATGAAGTCTCAAAGGATACTGAATAGCCAAAATAATCTTGACAAAGAACAAAGTTGGAGTCTCACACTTCCTGATTTCAAAAGTTACTACAAAACAACGTGTTACTGGCATAAAGACAGACATGTAGGCCGATGGATTAGAATAGAAAGCCTACAAATAACCCCTTGTGTGTGTGGTCAAATGATCTTCAACAAGAGTGCCAAGACCATGCAATGGGGAAAGGACAGGATTTTCAACAAATGGTGTTGGGAAAACTGGATATCCACATGCAAAAGAATGAAGTTGGACCCTTACCTCACACCATATACATAAATTAACTCAAAATGGATCAAAGACCTAAACATGAGAAGTAAAACTATACAACTCTTTTTTTTTTTATTTTAATGTGTATTTACTTTTTGAGAGAGAGAGAGAGACAGAGTGCAAGCAAGAGTGGGGCAGAGAGAGGGAGACACAGAATCCGAAGCAGGCTCCAGGCTCTGAGCTGTCAGCACAGAGCCCAATGCGGGGCTTGAACCCACGAACCCTGAGATCATGACTGGAGCCAAAGTTAGACACTTAACCAACTGAGCCACCCAGGCACCAAAAACTACTATAAAACTCGTAAAACAAACATAGCAGAGAAGGTTCATGACATTGGATTTGGTAGTGATTTCTTGGACATGACAGGACACAAAAGGAAAAATAGATAAATCAGATTACATCACAATTAAAATCTGTGCACTAAAGGAAACAATTAACAGAATGAAAAGGCACCTCACAGAATGGAATAAAATATCTAGAGATCAGAGATCTGATATGGGGTTAATAACCAGGGAACAGAAATAACTTCTACAATTCAACAGTGGGACAACAAACAACCGGTTAAAAAATGGGCAAAGGACTTGAATAGACAGTTCTCCAAAGACGATTTTTGTTCCTTGTTGAAATTGAAGTATAGACACACAACGTAACAATATTACATTAGTTTCAGGTGTACGACATAGTGATTCAGTGGCTCCGTACATGATGTCGTGCTCACCACAAGTGTAGCTGTCACCCGTCCCCACACAGCACTGCTACAATACCACTGACAGTATTCCCTGTGCTGTATCTTCCCTCCCATGACCAGCTCATCCTGTAAGTGGAAGCCTGTACCTCCCGCTCCCCTTCACCCTTTAAAAATGATCTATAAGTGGCTAATAAGCAAAGAAAAAGTTGATCAACGTAAGTAGTCCCTGGGGAAATGCCACCGTGAGATAGCACTTCACAGTCATTAGAGTGGCTACAATTAGAAGAAGACAGGGGCGCCTGGGGGGGGGGGGGGCTCAGTCGGTTAATCGTCCAGCTCTTGATTTCAGCTCAGGTCATGATCTCAAGGTTCATGAGTTCAAGTCCCACGTCGGGCTCTGCGCTGACGGTGCCTTCTTGGGATTCTCTCTCATTCTCTCTCTCTCTCTGCCCCTCCCCTGCCCCTGCTCACACTTGCTCTTTCTCTCTCTCTTTCTCTCTCTCAAAGTAAGTAAACTTAAAATAAAAAAGAAAATTACCAAAAAAAAAAAAAAAAAAGAGGAAGACAAAAAACAGAAAATAACAAATGTTGGCAAGGATATACAGAAACTAGAGTCTTCGTGTCCTGTTGGTGGGAATGTAAAACGGTGAATTATCATATGGTTGAGCAGTTGCACTTTCGGCTGAATACCTAAAGGAGTTGAAGCAGGGTTTCAAAGAGATGTTCGGACGCTGTTCACAGTAGCATTGTTCCCAATAGCCGAAAGGTGGAAGCATCCAGTGTCTACCAACGGATGAACGGATACACAGAAGGCGGTATAAACATACGATGGAATATTATTCAGCCTCAAAAAGGAAGGCAACGTGGGCATCTGCTACAATATAGGTGAACCTTCAGGACATTATGCTAGGTGAAATGAACCAGATACCAAGGGACAAATACCGTATGATTCCACTTACATGACGTGCCCAGAGTTGTCAAATTCATAGAGACAGAAAGTAGAATGGTAGTTGTCAGCAGCTGGGGGGGGGGGGGGGAGAAAATGAGCAGTTAGTGTTTAATGCATACAGAGTTTCAATTTGGGAGATGAAGAAAGTTCTAGAGAAGGATGGTGGTAATGGATGCACAATAAGGAGAATGTACCTAAGGTCCCCGAAGCACACACCTAGAAATGATTAAGATGGTAAATTTTGTTATGTGTATTTTACCACAATTTTTTGAAGTTTATTTAGGAGAGGGAGAGAGAGAGAGCCTGAGTAGGGGAGGGATAGAGAGAGAGAGAGAATCCCCAGCCAACTTGGGGCTCGAACCTATGAACCATGAGATCACGACCTGAGTGGAAACTAAGAGCCGGATGCTTAACCGATTGAGCCACCCAGGTACCCCTACCACAATTAAACAAACAAACAAAAAATCCTTTGGGGATTCCCAGCTGGCTCGGTGGATAAGCATGTGACTCTTGAGCTCAGCGTCCTGAGCTCAGTCTCCACACTGGGTGTGGAGCCTGCTGAAAAATAAACAAATAAGGAAGTCCATCTGTCCTTCGGTGTCCCTGCCACTGGAAATTTCTCACTGGAATTCATGCCAGGCTGTGGCTCCTGCCATCTTGTTTTGTGCCCCCACCCACTTCATTTCATTTCTCTGACCTTCCCTGTCTTCTCTCTCCTTGGGGTCCCTTTTCCCTAAGCTCCCGTTATGACGCTGGTAAAGCCGTTGAGTCCCTCATGTATTTATTTAACCACGTCCCTTCAACCATGTCCCGGGCACCGCCCTCCCCTTCCTCGACCAAAGTGGCTCATCAAGATGTTTTCCTAAACAAAACTGTTCTCACCCTGCTAAATGCATGGAAAACATGCCATCTGCTGTATACGCTGGTCTCCTGAGACATTGAGGAGTCCAAGCCCGCAGCTGAGACTCAGAGCTCCTCTCCACCAGCTGCCAGGCTGAGGCTCGACCCCGGGGTCCCAGGAGTGAATTTGTCAGAGTAAAGGCCGCTTTGGGCAGCCTCTTGGCAGCCTGCCGACAGCCCCTCCCCGAGCCACTCCGTCTCAAGCCTCAGATGTGCGGGCCCGAGGAGAAAACAGAGGATGACAGCAAGGACCGCTCGCCAAGCCGAGGTATGGTGACCTCAGTGGAACGGAGGTGCTTGGGGTCCAGAGCCACCGGGAGACAGGAGGGGTTGGAGGACTGGATGTTGAGAAACTTTGCCTCTGCACAGAAACCCTGCGTGTGTGTGCGCGCACGCGTGCGTGTACACGTAGGTGCACATGTGTGTGATGCGTCTAAGGAGGCCTCGGAGCTGGGGAAGATGAAAGGCAAGGCCAGGAGCTCTTGCTGTGGTTGAATAAGAATGACAAGGCAGCGGGGCGCCTGGGTGGCGCAGTCGGTTAAGCGTCCGGCTTCAGCCAGGTCACGATCTCGCGAGATCTCGCGTGATCTCGCGTGAGTTCGAGCCCCGCGTCGGGCTCTGGGCTGATGGCTCAGAGCCTGGAGCCTGTTTCCGATTCTGTGTCTCCCTCTCTCTCTGCCCCTCCCCCGTTCATGCTCTGTCTCTCTCTGTCCCAAAAATAAATAAACCTTGAAAAAAAAAAATTTAAAAAAAAAAATAAAAAAAAAAGAATGACAAGGCAGGCGGGGAACCAGACGATGCTTTCTAGGCATAGATCTGCGTGCAGAGCCCAGAGAGGGCACAGCCAGGAGCCTTCGGGACAAAAACTGCCACCAGATAAGCACTTCCCGTGTGCCAGGCACTCGATGCTGATAGTAGTTAGTTACTCTTCCTACATGCCAGCACCCTCTAGTAAACACGACAGTGCCAGCCACATACATAATTGTGAATATTCTAGGAGCTGCGCTGTATTTTATTTGCTTATTAAAATACAGAATATTTATTAAAATACAGATATTAACAAACAGAATGGTGCCTGGGTGCTCAGTTGGCCGAGTGGCCGACTCTTGATTTCGGCTCAGGTCATGATCCCAGAGTGGTGGGATTCAGCCCTACCTCAGGCTCCGTGCTAAGCACCGAGCATGGAATCGGCTTGAGATCCTGTCTCTCTCTCTCTCTCCCTCTCTCTCTGCTCCCCCCCACACACACTCGTGTATGCTGTCTCCCAAATTAACGATGGAGGGGGAGGAGGGGGAGGAGGAGGAGGAGGAGGGGAAGAGAAAGAAGAAGGAAATAAGATACCAACAAACACAAGTGCATTACATGTATACCTAATGTAACATGGGAGATAGTCCAGGGAGAAATGAGTAACTCCTGCATTTTAAAAAGTAAAAAGAAAAAATAGGGCCACCTGGGTGGCTCAGTCAGTTGAGCGTCTGACTTTTGACTTCGGTTCAGGTCATGATCTCGGGGTTCGTGAGTTCAAGCCCCACGTCGGGCTCTGTGCTGACAGTGCAGAGCCTGCTTGGGATTTTCTGTCGCAAAATAAATAAAATAAAAACCTATTAAGTAAAGTAAAAAATAGACATATGTAGTGAACTTAATTATAAAATATATTCTATTTAACCTAACAGATACAAATTTTTATTTCAACATGTAACCCATATAATTATTGGTGAGATACTTTACATTCTCCTTCCATATTAAGACTTCACAATCTGCCGTGAATTTACACTTAGTGCACACCTCAGTTTGGATGAGCCACATTTCAGATGCACTCTAGGTACATGTGCCTGATGGCAATTCTATTAGAGTAGTTTAGACACATTAATTCTAAATGTAAGCACTTTAGGGGAGCCTGGGTGGTTCAGTCAGTTGAGCGTCCGACTTCAGCTCAGGTCATGATCTCACGGTCTGTGAGTTCCAGCCCCGCATCGGGCTCTCTGCCGTCAGCACAGAACCCGCTTCTGATCTTCTGTTCCCCTCTCTCTTCCCCTCCTCCACTTGTTCTCTCTCTCTCCCTCAAATATAAACATTGAAGAAAAAGGACTGAAAACAATGTTGCACTGTATGTTAACTAGAATTTGAATAAAAATTTAAAAAATAAGGTAAATATAAGCACTTTAGATATATTAATTCAATATGCTTTTGGGGTTTTTTTAATGTTTATTTTGAGAGAGAGAGAGAGAGAGACAGAGAGAGAGAGCTTGTTTGCCCATGCTTCAGCAGGGGAGGGGCAGAGAAAGAGAGAGAGAGAGAGAGAGAGAATCCCAAGCAGGGTCAGCACAACACGGGACTCAAACCCACAAACTGTAAGATCATGACCCGAGCTGAAATCAAGAGTCAGACGCCTAGCCGACTGAGCCCCACCCCCCCCCGGGCACCCCATAACCATGCTTTTGTTATCCTCATTTTACAGATGAGAAAAATTAAACACGAAAAGAAAACGTCTGAGCTGGGGTCTGAATCACCGAGCGCAGCCAAGCGTGGGTCCGGAATCTGGTCTCCTAACCACCACTCCATGCTGCCACCACTATAGGGCTCCGCTCCCTTGAAAAATTCCACCTGCTATAGCTAACCTCTGTTTGACACAAGAGAAACTGAAGGTAAGAGAAGCTAAAAAGAACTTGCCCGGTAGATGGTCCCGCTGGGATTTGAACCCACGTGGAGTGAAAACTGGGTGGCCATCTCATACTTCAGTGAGTGCCAGGAAGGGCTGGGCACGGCTACCTGCATCCCACACTCAAGGTGAGGTCCACTTTGAAGAGTTCAAAGGAACAATGACCCCAAAGTTCGAACTGGGAGGGGAAAGAGGTGTTTGCACCATCTTCTACAACCAGCATCTTATTTTATTTATTTATTTTTTTTAAGTAGACTCTATGCCCAACGTGAGGCTTGAACTCACAACCCTGAGATCAAGAGTTGTATGCTTTACCGGCTGAGCCAGCCCGGAGCCTCTATAGTCTCTGAAACAACACATCGTAATTCATTTCAGCAGTCTCAATGCAAGGACAATGTTTCGCTATTATAAATAGCCCTGCAATGACCATTCTTGCAAATTATTGTTTCCAGTAATTCAATGTACAGCCAAGAAGTTTTCATTCTCTGCCACTTTATTGTCTGGTGTTCAAAGAGTGTAGGAGAGGGGCGCCTGGGTGGCTCAGTCGGTTGAGCGTCTGACTTTGGCTCAGGTCATGATCTCGCAGTTCGTGAGTTCCAGCCCCATGTCGGCTCTGTGCTGACAGCTCGGAGCCTGGAGCCTGCTTCCGATTCTGTGTCTCCCTCTCTCTCTGCCCCTTCCCTGCTCCTTCTCTCTCTCTCTCAATAAATAAATAAACATAAAAAAAAAAAAAACAACCCAGAGTGTAGGAGAGAGCGGGCAAATACCCCCGAGCCTGACCCCAACTGCAGAGAAGAGTCCCTGAACGGGTCCCCCTAAACCCTGGTGCTTTAGGTTCATATGTTCACTTTCTTGTCATACGGGCCAAGTTCATCTGCACCCAACACTCGGTTCCACCTATCTTTCTGCCCTCTGATGAGCCTCTGCTCAGGAAGAAACAGTTCTGAGGCCACACCAGTTGGTTGGGGCTGACCCTCCTGGGCACGATTATGCAACAAGGTTTTGTTTTTTTTTTAAGTTTATTTATCTATCTGGAGAGAGAGAAGAGAGCACAGGAGGGATAGAGGAAGAGAGAGAGAGAATCCCAAGCAGCCTCAGCACTGTCAGCACAGAGCCCGATGAGGGGCTTGAACTCAAACCCTGAGGTCACCACCCGAGCCTAAACCAAGAGTCAGGTGCCCAACCGACTGAGCCACCCAGTCGCCCCAACGAGATGCTTCAGCTCCTCCGTCTGGACTCTGCTGTCAGCAAAGTCCCATTTATTGCCCCGTGGAGCCTTCACCCTTCTGCTTCGTGGAAATGTTTGTGCAGGTTCCTGGCTTCTTCCCAGGTTATATCTGACTGTCCTTTTACCTTCCGTTCGGTCTTCTCTCTTACTGGGGGCGTCGTGTTTGCCCTGCAAGAGTCCTACCGACACAGTCCCGTAAATTAACTTTTTACGTTTGCAACTGGAGCGGAGGTTTTTAATTTAGGGCCCACAAATGTTGGGAGTGGCGAGGACACAAAGCCCCGAAGGAGCGTGCGAAATCTATGCGTGTGCATCTTTGCAGGGAGAGGTTGCTTATTTTCATTCCGTTTGCAAAAGGGCCAGGGACCCACCTAGAGCACGTGCTGGGCCCGCATGGCCACCCGATTGGACACTGCACTGTCTGCTCCCTTGCAGACGTTTCTGGCCAAGAACCACCCCTTCTGACTCCTCCCCTCGTTCTTCCCTCGTGTAAGCGGTGGCTGGCGGCAGCTTAGGGCAGAGAGGCCTGGCCTTGGCTCGTATCCTCTGCTCACCCCCTGCCCCACAGGCTGGCGCTCAAGTTCTAGCTGCAAAGAGCAGGGGAGGGGGGTTACAAATTCCTTCCCGAACCCCTGGGTTTCTCGTGGCCAGCAAAAAGTTTCAGTGTGAAAACTTGAAATACCAAGAGCTTGTATCTGCTTGCCTGTGTCTTTTTAATTACATGGTGTTTTAGTGTGCCAGGCTGCCTAACAAAGAACTGTAGATTGGGTGGTTTAAACAGCAGGCATTTATTTCCTTACAGTTCTGGGCTCCGGAAGTCCAAGATCAAGGTGTCCACAGGGTCCTTCTTAGCTTGCACATGGTTGTCTTCTTTCTGGGTGTCTGTGTGTCCTCATCTCCTCTTATAAGGACATCAGACATACTGGATTAGCACAGACCCTAATGTCCTCAGGTTAATTGAATCACCTCTTTAAAAACCCCGTCTCCAAATACAGTCACATTGAGGTATTGGGGGTTAGAATTTCAACATATGAATTTTGGGGGCACACAGTTTATCCCATAACACATATGTTAACATTTTTGTGATTATAAAAGTAACACACAAGGGGCACCTGGGTGGCTCAGGCTGTTGAGCGACCGACTTGAGCTCGGGTCACGATCTCGCGGTTTGTGGGTTCAAGCCCCGCGTCGGGCTCTGTGCTGATGGCTCAGAGCCTGGAGTCTGCCTCGGATTCTGTGTCTCCCTCTCTCTCTGCCCCTCTGCTGTTCATGCTCTGTCTCTCTCTTTCTCTCAAAAATAAATAAACGTTAAAAAATTTTTAATAACACATTTCCTGTAGAAAATGTAGAAACTTCAGAAATGGAGAAATTAATGAAAGAATCTCTGTAAAAATCATTCTCTTTCTCTAAGTGTGTACAGTAAAAAAAAAAGTGAAAACTTTCCTCTCTTTCCGCAGTTCCATTGCCTCCTCCCCAAAGAACACCTGTAATGAAGTTTCATAATAATAGGGTCATGTCTATTCAAACCTTTTCTGTGCTTGCACAAGCTGCTTCCGGGAACGTCCTTGTCCCCACACCCCTCTACCTGTTCATGCTGGCTTCCTAGGGAGCACACCTCTTGTGCTGTGAATTAAGCCCTTGTGCACCTTCGCACTGACTCAGTTGTTTTCTTGAAGGCCCCACAAAATGTGACCAATTAGAGCTCAGATTTAAGAGGAAATTCTAGGGACGCCTGGTAGGCTTAGTCGGTTAAGCGTCCGACTTCGGCTCAGGTCACGATCTCGCGGTCCGTGAGTTCGAGCCCCGCGTCGGGCTCTGTGCTGACAGCTGTGTGCTGACTTCCGATTCTGTGTCTCCCCCTCTCTCTGCCCCTCCCCCACTTGCACTCTGTCTCTCTCTCAAAAATAAATAGACATTAAAAAAAATTTTTTTAAATAAGAGGAAATTCTGTAGTGATGTATTTAATGCCATTTTGTTACTTGTTTTATGGTTGTTTTTGCAGTTCTCCGTTTCTCTCTTCTTTTGCTCTCTTCTCGCACCCTTAGTTGCGTTAGGAGATTCTAAAAAGGAGGCGCTTTTAAGTAAACGAGACCCGTCAGAGTGGCTTCTGACACGTTAACCAGGCTTGAGCGTAGGCAATGGGGCAGAAAGTTATTTTTCTCACTTCATCTTCTTACTTAGTTGGATTTTCTACATTTTCTCTAATGAGCTTATATTACTTTTTAGAACAGGGGAAATAAAGAACTGTAATAGAACACTGCCAAAGGGGACGATCAAAAGGAACCTCGAGCTCCTTTCGGAGCCAGAGGAGGACAGAAAGAGGGAGCCAGCTGCCACAGGAGCTGAGGGAGGGACGCTGGCGGGGGCCACAGGGGAAGACGGAAGCGCTCCGGGTCGCTGGCCCTGTGCCTCTCGGACGTGGCAGAGAAGAGTGCACGCGTGACAGGGAGAAGCCGGCTCTGAGCCCGTGCAAGGTGGCTTGCGAGTGTGCAAATGAGCTCCTGGCTACTTAAAATAAAGTCCTTTGGTCTGGACTAATTATATCCCAGCTGCCGAGAAGTAGATGCTGAGTCACTGCCCGTGGTCTTTGGAAACTTGCGGTGGAAACAAGCTGGAAGGTGGACGAGGGTCAAAAGGCCATTCTCGTTTTTTTGAAGGGGAAGGACGTGGAGACTTCAGACATTGGGCCAGAGAGCTGAACAAGGATAGAGGCGTGGGGGGGGGGGGGATATGGAGGCCCTGGAAAGAAAGTGATGACTCCTGGGAATCAGAATGGGTTCACCAGCTCCAGATGAGGGTCGGCTGTGACCCTGGAGTCGAGATGGGGAAATACGGAGCAGCCGTTAGCACAGTTAGGTCAGATGGTAGCAGACTGAGTTATCGTGACCACAAAACCAGGGGATCAGTGTCAAATGGGAGGCAGGTCTGTAGGTCTGTGTGGAAAGTTTCTATCCTGTTCAAGGTTCCTTATCAATCGCTAGGGATTAGGGCTGAAGTGGAAAGCAAGAAAAATATACGCCTGCCCTCATGGAGTTGATACTGTAGTGTCATCTATTCATTCATTAAAGCAAGTTTATTTCTATCTTAAAGGGAAAAAACCTATTCCTTGGACCCGATCGAGAGAGGAGTGGCTCTTGTCACCGTCCATTAGTGGTTTTGATGACCTTGTTGGCCCACAGGTAGGGCACTCGGTCACTGCGGGGCTCCCTGCTGGCTGTCTCCCCAGCAGCCGTTTCTCACCTCTTCCTTTCTTTATCTTATTTTGTTATTAGTTTATTTTATTGTTTCATTATTTTTTTAATGTTTATTTATTTTTGAGACAGAGAGATAGAGTGTGAGCAGGGGAGAGGAGGAGACAGAGGGAGACAGAGACTCCCAAGCAGGATCCGCACTGTTAGCGTGGAGCCCTACGCAGGGCTGGGACTCACGATTTGTGAGATCCTGACCTGAGCCAAAACCCAGAGTTGGACGCTCAACCGACTGAGCCACCCAGGCGCCCCCCCCCCCACCTTTTAAAATGTTATATATAGAGAGAGTGCAAGTGGGGGAGAGGGGCTCTTAAGCAGGTTTCATGCACAGCGTGGAGCCCGATGTGGGGCTCAATCCCTGGGATCGTGACCTGAGCCTAATTCAAGAGTCAGATGCTCAACCAACGGAGCCACTCAGGCGCCCCTCACCTCTTCCTTTCTACAAGTACCACATCTCCCCCCTACACCGAGCACTTTTCTTCCTTGAATCCATTTGTCTCAGGGAAAGTT